ATTAGGGAACTGACTTGTTGGCGGAGATGGGGGTTGCGTTGACGGGGTTGATTAGGGGGTTGTACGGCGGTTTTTGGAGGTGGTGGGGGGTTGTTGCTGTTGTTGTGGTTGTTGTGGTTGTTGTCATTGTTGCGGTTGTGTGTGTGTGTGTGTGTCTCTCTCTCTCTTTCTGTGTGTGTGACGGTGGTTGAGGGGGTTTTTTGCTTGTTGTGTGGTATAGCAATGTGCTGCTTCACGTCTGGATCGAATAATCACAGCCAGGGTATCGAAGCTGTGCAGGCCAACTACTTGCGACCTTGATTCGCTTTGTCTGGATGATGCTCATGGCTGGGATTCTGGATTTTCTCTCTTTGAGACCGGTCGTATTCCTGGGTGCTGGAAAAAGGGTCCGGTGACAGCCAAGATACACTACTAGTGATGGCTAGTGATGCATCCCAGCACGTGATTCCATGCTCGGCGACAACCCTGGGCAGAATGATGTCATGGCGGATGTCTTGCGAACTCGGTGTGGCACATGTCACAGCTCTTATCGCAGAGGTTCTCAGAAGGTGCTGGGAGGGATCCTTCCTCTGTTTTGACATCTGATCGACCCCTTCCTCAGTCTGTCATGTTGAAGCTTCGGTGGATAAGGTCCCTCAATCCAGTATCGCCGATCTCGCCCGCCTACTTAGTTCCTTCGGCTGGACCATCTTCTTTGGGATTCCGCCCAATTGGATTCAATTGCATGGGCTGATGGCTTGGTACGCACGGGTTAGTCATCCTCCTATCGGTCAATGCGGGGGCTAATCAATCCTTACTACTCCATTCCTGGTAATCAGAGAGAGAAAACAGTGACATGAGACTTTCCGCATTGTCTCAACGAATTGCTCAATTTCATCCCTGTCCAGTCATGACAAGACGGACTGACTGATATCCTCCGAGTGAATGAACCCACCACGAATCAAACAAGGGGAATGGGAAAGACCCGAGGTGAGTCACGTCGAGGGAAGCTGGAGATGTAAAAGATAAGGTAAAGAGACCCGCAGCCACAATACGGGGCACCTTCCAACCAGACTTGCACTTGCAAGCCAATCGCTGACGCCGCAAAATTTGCTGCTCGCTGCTAGACCTTCCGAAATTGTCCAATCGCTAGAGACGATAAAAGCGTCGCCCCCATCTAACTATCCTAGTCGCTCAGTCGCTCTTCAGTCTTAAACAAATCCCCTCCTTGCTTATTTCCAGTGCTTCATTCACTCCGCAAGTCCTTTGCTGCGGCTTTCGGCAAATCATGCAGCATTGCTCCTTACCTTAGTTTCCATCTATAAACCTCCAAATCCTCCCTCCCCCGCAGCTCCCGCCCGCCGACCTCTTATCCGAGAAATCATGACTCCGCGCGATTCCGATTTTCACTCCCCCAGAATGTCGGACGAGCACCACTACCTGTCTCGCTCGCCGCTCGCGCGGTCCGCCATTGCGCGCGATCTGGAGGACTACGCCGACGACGAAGGCTCCATGCTCACCACCGACGATGACGATGCCTCCGAGACCTCGACCATTCGCGCAATCGGCAGCCAGCCTGGAACCCGCGCCCATTCCCTGGCCGGCTCGTACCAACGGCCCAGCTACTTCACCACCGTCTCGCGCGCCACCGTGGTCCCGTATCGCCCGGAGCAGGAGGGCCTGACCCGGCGCGAACGCGACCAGGCCATCGAGGACGAGCGCGATCTTCTCACGGACAACCATTTCATCGAGCCGTCGCGGAAGAAGACCCGTCGCTCGGCCTCGGAGTCTGCGCCATCCACGGAAGAGACCGCGCTCCTCGGTGGGGAGGGACCTTCGCGGGCGCCGCAGTACGATTCCGTGGACTCCGAAGAGATCGACCGGAAGTGGGAGGAAGCCGTCACCGCAGGGCTCATCCAGACAACGTGGAAGCGAGAGGCTCAGGTCATCGGCAAGAATGCGGCGCCTTTGGTCTTCACCTTCTTGCTTCAATACTCCCTGACGGTCGCTAGTATCTTCACCCTGGGGCACTTGGGGAAGAAGGAACTGGGCGCTGTCAGTCTGGCGAGCATGAGCGCCAATATCACGGGTTATGCTAGTAAGTCTCGAAATCAGGCCGTTTGCATTCGCTTGACACAGTGCTAATTTGTGATTTGCCGTGCACAGTCTACCAGGGATTGGCTACCAGTCTCGATACACTCTGCGCTCAAGCTTACGGTTCTGGAAAGAAGAAGCTGGTGGGTCTGCAAATGCAGAAGATGGTCTTCTTCCTGTGGACCATCTCCATTCCTATTGTCATTCTTTGGTTTTTCGCGGACAAGGTCCTGGTCAGGATTGTGCCGGAGAAGGAAGTGGCTGAGCTTGCGGGCTTGTATCTGAAGGTGGTCGCACTGGGTGCGCCGGGATATGCCTGTTTTGAGAGCGGGAAGCGGTTCGTGCAGGCGCAGGGTCTGTTCTCCGCTTCTCTCTACGTCCTCTTGATCTGTGCTCCTCTCAATGCAGTGATGAACTACGTGTTCGTCTGGCAGTTCGGGTGGGGCTTTGTCGGAGCCCCCATCGCCGTGGCCATCACGGATAACCTGATGCCGCTCTTCCTGTTTCTGTATGTGTACTTTGTTGCGGGATCCGAATGCTGGAACGGTGTAACCCGAAGAGCGCTGCGCAACTGGGGTCCCATGATCAAGCTCGCTCTTCCCGGTCTTCTGATGGTCGAGGCTGAGTGTCTGGCCTTTGAGGTTCTTACGCTGGCTTCTTCGTATCTCGGAACAACCCCCTTGGCCGCACAGTCCATCCTGTCGACTATCTCCAGCATCACCTTCCAGATCCCCTTCCCTGTCTCCATCTCTGGAAGCACCCGTGTGGCGAACTTGATTGGCGCTACCCTTGTCAACGCCGCCAAAACCTCTGCCAAGGTCACCATGGTCGGGGCCGTGATTGTCGGACTCCTCAACATGCTCCTCCTCTCTTCGCTGCGCTACTACATCCCGCGCCTGTTCACGTCTGAGGAGGAGGTCATCGAACTGGTTGCGCAGGTGCTGCCTCTGTGCGCGGCGTTCCAGCTCTTCGATGCCCTCGCCGCCAACTGCAATGGTATTCTCCGAGGCATCGGGCGGCAGGAGATCGGTGGGTACGTTCAACTCTTCTGCTACTATGCCATCGCCATGCCCATCAGTTTCGGGACCACCTTTGCGCTGGACTGGGGTCTCTTCGGACTTTGGAGTGGCGTGGCCCTTGCCCTGATGCTCGTCTCCATCATTGAGGGATTCTTCCTCACGCAGACCAACTGGAACCGCTCCGTGGAGGATGCCCTGAAGCGGAACTCCATGATTTGAATCTATTGTTACCTGTTACCGACGAATGATGACCACCATGATGTTTTGATGATTTTTTTGTTGTGGGTTCACTTGCTATTATCTAGCTTCCCCTTTGAACGACGGGTGCGGTATATAAGTACTGTACATATATGGGAGGCGGCATCGTTTATTCAAAAGTTTCGACAAACTCACGACGACCCTCTGCAAGCGGACTAAGATTGTGGTGTGTATATGTTGTATTTGTTTGCTAGGTGTGTTAGATCAGTTCTGATTGTATGAAGGCCTCAAATCGGCCAATATCGTTATGCACCATGTCCAATGGGGGCAATGTAAATCAATAAATAAAGGAACCCATTTTTCATATTCATCAATAACGCGCAAATCGTACATGCAAGTAGAAAACCCCCCCCCCCCAAACCCAACAAACCTAATACTCCAGAATCGCCCAGGTCTGCTCATCCACCGTCGAGAAGATCACCCCAGCCGTCAACAGCTCATCGCCGGCCCTAGCGACATCCGGCATGGGCAGACTCAGCTTAGCAGCAATCAACTGCGCATGCAGCCCCTCATTACTCTGCGGCTCCGTCTTGAGCAGGTTATACACCCGTCTCGCCACAGGACTCATCGCCGGCAACGCCCGCCCACCACCACCGCCACCATAATCATCCACCCCACCCATCGAAGCATCCCCAGCCGCACCACCTGCACCAGAACCTCCCGCCCCCTGCCCCTGGGAATCACCAACCGGCCCCTTCGTGAAAAACAAATGCACCGCCGCCGCCTCCAGCAGATGCACATGCACCTCGTTGATATCCTTGACGGCGCGCACGCAATGCGCCCCGACGAACCGCTTATTTCCGAACGACTTGAGTTTTCCGAACACCTTGGCGTAGCCGTCTACCTCGGGCTGGGATTTGCTGCCGGCGGGTTTGTTGGTGTGCTCGTCGGTTTCCATACTATCCCCACCCCCCGACGACGAGTCGATCCACTGCTTCACTTCGATCTCGCCGGTGCCGTCGTCGATCTTGTACGTCACGTTCGTGCTCTGCGAGCTGATGTTCCGGACCTGCCCGATGAAGCACACGCTCGCCGCCTCGGCGGAGTCGATCTGGTAGCCGGCTTCTGGGTAGGGTTGGGTGGCGTCCAGCGCTTGTTTGATGGTTATGGGGCGGAGGGTGGCGTTGTTGTAGTCGCTCTGTTTGGGGGAGGGTTAGAAGTTGGTTGATTTGGGGGGATGGGGAGGGGGGCAATGGTGGGGGGTTGCTGCTCTCAGAAGCAAGAGTGTAGTGTGGTGTGGTAAGGGTGTAAGGGTGCAGTGTAAGCTTTACCTTTCCTCCAGAAGGACTGTTGTTCATCTCGCCGGGCATGAAGCCTCCGCCTCCGCCGCCGCCGCTACCTCCGTAGCTGGTGTTGTAATTGTTGTAGCCGCTATCTGAGATTCCGAACGAAAATTGTTAGCTGAGTGCCCGCGGCAGCGAAGGAAAGCTGGGAAGTGTGGTAGAGAGGAAAGAATGGTGGGTGCAGAAATTGCAGAGGTTATCGGTGTAAGCTTACCCATTATATAGTGTGTTTCTTGGGGGTATCTTTAAAAGTTGCAAGTTGGGATGGACGTTTATTCACTGCACTGAAACGATGGAAGTGTTCATTGCATTTTACCGCTTCGGGACGTGTTCGAGGACGCGTCGCGGCGGTGGTTTGCCGTCTTTGCATTGTTTGGCTGGTTTGTTCTGTGGCTGCTTGATCCCGCCCGCTTCACCGCCTTGGACATTTTCCCCGGTCAGACAGAAAAAAAAATGTTCGAGGGTCTGATTCGAGACAAGGCCAAACCGCATACAGGCGCGCGGTGACAGACAAAAATGGCCCCTCGCGCTGCTTCCCCCGCTCTGTCGGAGAATGAATTCGACATCACCAATGCGCTGTTCCAGCATGACAGCGATTCCGAGATCGAACAAGTCCCGCACAAGAAGGCCAAGCGCCAACCCCCGAAGGCGGCCGCGCCGCAGCAACTGGATTTCCTAGGCGGCAACCACGACGATGACGACGACGGCGAAGATGACGAGGCATTCATCGCGGAGAGACAGGCGTCGGCCAACCGGAAGGGCTCGAATCTCAAGGGCCGCACGGTCAAGAAGGGCGGCGGTTTCCAGGCGATGGGGCTGAATGCGAACCTGCTGAAGGCGATCACCCGGAAAGGGTTCTCGGTGCCGACGCCCATCCAGCGCAAGACGATCCCCGTCATCATGGACGACCAGGACGTGGTGGGCATGGCGCGCACGGGTTCCGGCAAGACGGCCGCCTTCGTGATCCCCATGATCGAGAAGCTCAAGAGCCACAGCACCATGGTCGGCTCCCGCGCGCTGATCATGTCGCCCTCGCGTGAGCTGGCGCTGCAGACCCTGAAGGTCGTCAAGGAGCTTGGCAAGGGCACCGACCTCAAGTCCGTGCTGCTGGTCGGTGGTGACAGCCTCGAGGAGCAGTTCTCCATGATGGCCGGCAACCCGGATATCGTCATCGCCACCCCCGGTCGGTTCCTGCACCTGAAGGTCGAGATGAACCTGGATATGTCGAGTATCCGCTACGTGGTCTTCGACGAGGCCGATCGGCTCTTCGAGATGGGTTTCGCCGCCCAGCTGACCGAGATTCTGCACGGCCTGCCCCAGAACCGCCAGACCCTGCTGTTCTCGGCCACCTTGCCCAAGTCGCTGGTCGAGTTCGCCCGCGCCGGTCTGCAGGACCCGACGCTCATCCGTCTGGACACCGAGAGCAAGATCTCGCCGGATCTGCAGAATGTGTTCTTCTCTGTCAAGTCCGGCGACAAGGAGGGTGCGTTGCTCTACATCCTGCACGAGGTGATCAAGATGCCCACGGGCCCCACCGAGGCGGCCCGGCGCCAAAAGGAGGACGAGAAGAAGCCCTTTAAGGACCGCAAGCGCAAGCGATCGGCGATGGATAAAGCCATTAACACCAAGGAATCCCCCACCAAACACTCGACCATCGTCTTCGCCGCCACCAAACACCACGTCGATTTCCTGTACTCTCTCCTCTGCGAGGCCGGCTTCGCCACCTCCTACGTCTACGGTTCCCTTGACCAGACCGCCCGTAAGATCCAGGTCCAGAACTTCCGGTCGGGTATTTCGAATATTCTCGTCGTCACCGACGTCGCCGCCCGCGGTATCGATATCCCCATCCTCGCCAACGTCATCAACTACGACTTCCCCTCGCAGGCCAAGATCTTCGTCCACCGTGTCGGTCGTACCGCCCGTGCCGGCCGCACGGGTTGGAGTTACAGTCTTGTCCGGGACCAGGACGCCCCCTACCTGTTGGACCTGCAGCTCTTCCTCGGTCGGAGGCTCGTGCTGGGTCGCGAGTTCGGGGACCAGGTCAACTACGCCGAGGACGTGGTCGTCGGCAGCCTGCCCCGGGACGGGCTGTCCCAGAACTGCGAGTGGGCCGCCAAGGTGGTCGAGGACTCCACCGACATCGCCAACCAGCGCGCGGTCGCCGCCAAGGGTGAGAAGCTGTACATGCGCACGCGCAACGCCGCCGCCCTGGAGAGCGCCAAGCGCGCCAAGCAGGTGGTCGCCTCGGACAACTGGGCAGCCACCCACCCGCTTTTCAGCGACGAGACCTCGCAGCTGGAAGCCGAGCGCGAGAAGATGCTGGCCCGCATCGGCGGCTACCGGCCCACGGAGACGATCTTTGAGGTGAACAACCGCCGCAGCGGCAAGCCCGAGAACGAGGAAGCCCTCAGCACCATCCGCCGCGTGCGCACGACGCTCGACTCGAAGAAGAAGCGCCAGGCGCAAGCCGAGGAGCAGTCCGAGTTCGTCGAGGATGCCGTCACCGGCGGAGCTGCAGGTGATGGCAGCGACAACGACGAGGCCGTCGCCGACGGCGCCTTCGACGACGAAGATGAAGCCACCGGCATCCCCGACAACATGTCCATGGCGTCCGAATCCGACCTCGAAGTCACCTTCTCCGCCTACGGCAGCAACAAGGACAACAAGGACAAGAATGCCAGCAACGCGGCCTCCTTCCAGAACCCAGACTACTTCATGTCCTACACCCCCACCAACATCAACCTAGCCGAGGACCGCGCGTACGGGGTACACTCCGGCACGAACGCCAACTTCGCGCAGGCGTCGCGCGACGCCGCCATGGACCTGCTCGGCGACGAGGGCAGCCGCGGGTTCGGCGAGCCCCGCACCATGATGCGCTGGGACAAGCGGCACAAGAAGTACGTCGCGCGCCAGAACGATGAGGACGGCTCCAAGGGCACCCGCCTCGTGCGCGGCGAGAGCGGCGCCAAGATCGCCGCCTCCTTCCGCAGCGGCCGCTTCGACGCCTGGAAGAAGGGCAAGCGCCTCGGCCGCATGCCCCGCGTTGGTGAGGCCGAGACCCCCGGCATGTCGGCGGATCTGGATGCTGCGGGCCGCCATGGTGGCGGCAAGCGCTTCCGGCATCGGCAGGAGCGTGCGCCCAAGCGCGCGGACCCCTTACGCGGTGATTATGAAAAGATGAAGAAGAAGAATGATGCTGCCAAGGAGCGGCAGTTCAATAAATTCGGCGGTGCTGCGGCGGGGGGCAAGAGTGAGATTCGGGGGACGGATGATATTCGTCTCGCGAGGAAGTTGAAGCAGAAGCGCATGGAGAAGAATGCTAGGCCTTCGAGGAAGAGGTGATGCTTTGCTTACTTTTCTCGTGGGGTTGGTTGGGGGGGGGGGGGTTTGACTTTTTACTTGTATATACCATTTCGTTTGGGACGGTTTATCATAAAATTCTGTTTGTTTATTCTTGTTGCATGTAGATACCTTACTTCAATGATACGAGTGGGAATGAGATCGTGTTCGCATTATATTTATTACTGTTGCGCTGGCTGGATCAATTTACTCAGCGCGGATAAGTTAAGTGTCTCACTTTATGGCTGGCTTAGTATACCATTCCCATCAGAGAGCAGGGAGGCATGCCCTCGCGCTCGAAATCATCATCCTCGGCATTGCATGTTGCGTATGGCGTCGGCATTCCGATACCGGCGCAGGGGAGCATGCCTTCTTTCTCGTCGTCGTCATTGTCATTGTTGATCTCGGCTTCGACGGTGGAGGGTGCATGCTGTGTGTGGGCGATAAATGCACCGCACGGGAGAATGCCTTCTCTTCCATCGTCATCATCCTCGACCTCGACCTCTGGGGTAGTGGTAGAGGATACGTGCTGCGCGTGGGCCCCAAAAGCACCGCACGGGAGGAATCCCTCCTTCTCGTCGTCGCTATCACTCTCACTTTCGACCACTGTCGTCTTCGGGGGTAGCTGCTTCGAGTGAAGCCCGATCACAGTGCAGGGCAGCATGCCTTCTCTTTCATTGTCGTCGTTGTCGTCATCGTGGACCTCGGCTGTCGTGATGGGCTTTAGTGATATGTGCTGCGCGTGAGCCCCAAAGGCTCCGCACGGGAGGATTCCCTCCCTCTCATCATCATCACTATGCTCAGCGATCATCGTCGCATTCGATGACTGCTTCGCGTGCGCGGCAAAAGCGCCGCACGGGAGGATTCCTTCTCTGTCTTCGGCCTCGCCGCTCCTCATTTGACTCGGGATTGCGTGAGCATGCAACATGGAAGCCACACACGGGAGAATGCCCTCCCTCTCATCGTCGTCGTCGTCGTCGTCCCCGCGGTGCTCGTGACGCAGCACCTGGCGAGCTGTGGATACTCTCTGCAGCGCAAATCCAGCTGCGCATGGCATCATTCCTTCTCTCTCCTCGCCGTTAGCATAATCCTCAGTCTGATCCATCCTCACCGCAGCCTCAATAGCCACAGCTTGAACACTCGACCCCCCCTCATCCTCCTCGACGCGGTCTACAGCAACAGAACACCCCTCAATCTCCTCCCACTCACTCTCCCCATCCAACAACCCCTCTTCTTCCGGTCGAACCGCATCCGCAGCCACATCCCGCAACACCCCCTCCCGTATAGCAAGAACCCTCCCCCACGCCCCCCTCGTCTCCATCCTCCCCACCCACGCCGCGACAAACGGATACGGCCGCATTAGCCTCAATCCCAGGCCATCACCCCCCGAAGGAGAAGCAAGACCGTGAAGACCCGGTAAAAACGCCAAATCAGCGTAGCTGCAGCGCTCGCCCACGAGCCAGGATTTATTCGTCAGGGCGGTGTTCAACGTTGCCAGAACGTTGTGGAATTGGGGGTTGGGGCTGGAGCTGGAGCTCAGCGTCGTCTGGAGATGCAGCCATTGGTTTAGAAGGTGTTTCTCTGTGGTGGTAGCAGTAGTGCTCAGAGCATTTGTGTGGTCGTAGTGGTCGACGAGGTATTGGATGATCGGGTTGGCGTGGAAGAGGGTGGTTCTTGTGTTGGGGTCTGTAAGGGCTATTTTTAATGAGCTGTTAGTTGTTGTTGTTGGGGGGTGGAGTTTGGGGAGGGGTTTTGTCGGGCTAGTTATCTGGGGTAGGGTAGGATTGCCGAAGGGTACTTGCTTGGGAGTTCTTGGGTCGATGGGTTGATGCTTGGTGAGGGAGATGAGGGGATTTGGTAGGGGTGAATTGTGTATGGAGTTGCGATTTCTTCGGCGATGGTGATTATCTATTCTTTGTTAGTTTTGAAGGGTGCATTGGGTGCACTTGGGCGGAGGAGGGTGCGTACACTCCATGCGTTGGGGTCGGTTGCTATCCGTCACCGTTAGTTTTGTGGATCTCTCGCGGAGTATACCCCGAAGGGCGAGGAGGGGGTCACTCACCGAGGAACCGGATCTCCAGAGGTTGGACCATTGTGTCTGTTGTGATTCTTAAGTCGTGGTGTGCAAATTCTTGAAGAAGAGAGGCTGAGAATCGGGGATGACTGGTTAAAATAGGTAGCTGGGCTGAGTGATGGCATGCATCCTGCATCGTACCGGATTAGTTAGTATTCATCGGCGGGGGCCCAGTGAGGCTGAGGCCTAGTGCTCACTCAGCTGACATCAAGAAACAGTCTTAAAGATAAGTCTAACGTTTAACTTGCTTGGCGGTTTGTTTTCGCTCCTGGTGGCGAGACTGCCCTGACTGGCCTGCAGGTCATGCCACGGGTATCATGTCTGGTGCTTTGTCGTGGATCGACCTACCTTGTGGGATGCTTTGTAGTGGGTCGGGATATTGAGTGGTGTATATTTTGGCAGGGGATGTGGTCAGGTCGGCGGGTGGGATGCTCAGCTACCATCCTAAACAGAATGATGGGTAGCTCGGTAGCTGAGGGGCGCAGCGCAGCTGGTACGCAGCTGGCAGATGGGTCCATTGGGGACTGCGGAGCTGGTTTTCTTTGAGGTTAAGAAATTGATACGAGTTCGTGATGATGGAAGCTACCGTGGCTGGCTGGGATATCTTGGTAGGGTAGAGAGTAAGTGGTCTCGGCCATTCGAGCCGAGGTTCTCCGCAGATTGGCAAATATAGTTTCATCGGTTGACGACTACCATGGTTGAGTTAAAGTAGATCCAGAGATTGCTGTGAGATGATGGTTGAGATGGTGATCTAGGCCCGTGCATGCTTGAGAAGATTCGATAAGAGGTTGCAGCATCATACTTGCACCTAGCAATGTCGGCTGAACAAGGCGGTTGCAATTGGTAGACTGACCAGGTATCCCATGGTTGAGATAGTGGGTGATTTACTAGAATTTTTTTGACAAAGGACATGTTGCCGTACTACTACACTCTAGTCATGAACTGGCCGGATGGTGTAGTTGGTTATCACGTATCGTTAACACCGATAAGGTCCTGGGATCGAGCCCCAGTCTGGTCATTCTTTTTGCTCTTTTATTTTGTCTTGACCCTTCAGAGAATTTCCCGACATACATCTTTGTGAGCTATTGTTCTGACGTGATCACTGCGATGATGGATCCTTCCTCGTATCTTCCTACGCATACACCAATTGCTGACGAAATGGTGCCTTAAGGAGCTCGTCATCACAGCGGCCTGCTGACAGCCAACCCTACATCCATCAGCCCAGGCAGCAATGACCCTATCACAGTAATGACCTACCTCCGTAATGACTCTACTACAATCTGAATGACCACCAGAAGCAGAGCGGCACGCCTCATCTGGATTAAGGTAGCCACGATATTATCCTCTGTACAGGTCGATACCGTACGCCAACCTTGTGTTTTGCAAATACCGCTTCACAGGCCCGTGTTGGCAAGCAAAGGCAAAACAAGGTCGGCACTTGATCCAAGATCCAGGCCAATTGCATGCGTCGGAGAAGATGCATGCTACGAAGTAAAAGAGACGGCCTCGACACGGTACGAGAATCGACCTCGTTGTCATCACCTCCACCAGAGTCCTCGCCGATGAAGTCACCCGGTGGTCCTGCGGGCCTAAGAAACTCTCCATGGTACCACAGCAGATGATCTACCGTGACATTAATCGCGGTACTGTAGGCTGCCCGACTGTACACACCGCGCATGGTCGGCAGGTCAGAGTTCGCACCGAGTCACCAGCAACAGCAAAGGCGTAGCCGGCCGCCAGTATGCGTCAGAGGCCATTGGAGCCGAGAGTCCTTGGTCAAGGTCATGCTGACCACCGACATGTCTTCGTCCCGTAGATCCGTAGGAAGCTTGAAGCAAATGTACCCAGGAAACCCGAAAACACCGAAAACTGGCACAGTGTCAGCAATTCCCCATGGGCAAGCACATTCAAGTCACTGTTTTACAACAGAGACTCTGAGAGTGTTCGATCTACCCGTCCTTCGTTATGCGTTCCCTCCTTGAAGGGTCATGTTCAAGAGACAGAGACATTCACAAGCCATTTCCTCGATAGCATAGGCAGGGAACGAGAGAGCTCCTCACTCCCCAGCATGCACATCCAATAGGAAGGTAACACTGCATTGCCAAGTCCGGCTGTAATGAATACTAGGCAAAAGTTAGTGCTGGATCCAAGCTAACCCTCCACAGAACAGACGATCATGCACTGATCACCGCTGCATACCAACACAACGCCCGTGTGGATTCGGCCGATAGTCCACCCAGTCAGATGAGTTGCAACAGAGAAATTTCTGCGCGCACCAATTTATGCTGTGCCTTGGATGCAGGCCTCGTTGCAGTCGCATCAGCAACAAATCGGCAGGAGATACGGAAATGATGGCACTGTGACTTTGTGAAGCTTCAATCTATAGTCCTGACTTGAGCAGCGTGCATCGGTCTTAGAGTATCATTTCCTAGACTTGTCTTGAGCAGCAGAATGGGGATGACGGATTTGGAAGATCACTCACTATAAGCAACGACGAATCTGACACCACTTTTTTCCGTAGATAAGAAACGGGATCATGGAGACACCAATTCCTGTGAGACCATGCAAGTTCGTAGATAAATAATTTTCTCCATGGTCAATTATTGTACGGCTTGTCTTCCATATTCGGAATGATCATATTATGGGCTTCTTCATACTCGGACCGTCCCGGAGTAGGGTTACGGTCCCTTTTTCACCGGGTGTCTTGGGGGAGACGGAAAAAGATGGTGAATCGAGGAAGAAATCATGGAAGCCGCTTGAGTGTGTCTGTGAAGAGACTTGTCACATCCTCACCGACTCTCTACCAAGCGAAATGCCTATATCGGGCTCCGCCATCTGAGTTGCCTCATGCAGATGACTGGTCATCCCGTAGTGCAGATTGCAGACCGCAGGCTTAACGTTCGTCATACAGTGGTTGCTGATGCATTTAGCACTCCCTGCAGACCGTTTTGACCAACGACAATACCATCGATGCAGTGATCATGCATGGGTCCCAAGTCGGTGCGGATTAAGTGACCTTTCCCAAAGCAACCTCTGCAAAGGCAAAGGTGAGCCGCGCTCCTACCTCTGATACTGATACATTAACCAGTTCACAGGTTCAAATGAATGTTGCTGGCATGTCAGCGTTCAATTGGGGGGTAGTACAGTAAGTACGCTTTCCCACGAGTCACCTCATGTGCATGAGACGCTATCGAGGAAACAAGTGTCGCCCCTTGGTCAAGCCCGCGAGCAGCAGGACATTGCAAAGGGACACCTAGAGTCACCCGTAGACCACGGTTGTTAGGTATGCGAGCGCCCAAAGACCGTGGATTCGTGGCGCCGGAGATTACCCAATGCCTATTGGTTCCTGATTTCCGAAGCACCGGGAGACGTCTTTAAACGAGATCTGCCGGCGCAGAACGGGGATTTTCTGGATAGTAGTGGCTCTGTGTATCTCTACCCCCTAAGGGCGACTTTTAGGTCTCCGTCGCAACGAGCGCTTCCAGGCATAACACTGCCCGGACGCTCATCATCTACCTTGGCGCGGGAAGTATCGTAGGGCATGGATTACTGCCGAGGCCCGTGGCAGTCCACCGTGTTAGAACTTCACTGCGGTTGAATGTATGCATCCTGGGCCAACCTTCTTCAGGTCGTCGGATAGTAAGCTTCCTAGCCTTCGTGACCTTATAGATGTATAGAAGAACCCACACTCGGGAACATATGTTCCGAGGACAACTGTTGCCTCTATTGCTCAGGTACACGCTACTATGTTCATTGCTGCGAGAGCCACACTCGGTAAACCCTCATGTCGGGCACGGTGGACGGATGTTCATGAGGTGGCTACCAACAACGTGTTAAGTGACTTAACCAGCGAAAACACCTCCATTTGAAAAGATGAATCGAGAAGCAAGTCTATCAAGGAGCTCGGCACTATCGAGAACCATGATGGCGTGGCAATGAAGTAGTCTAGCCGCAAAAGCCTCCGGCCGCTCTGTTAATGTGGCTATCGGACGTCTACCGTGCACAGTTGCCCTCGTGTCGATATCACTAGCTTGGACTCTTCCTCGGAAAGACCCTTTCTCGGAAAATTTACTTGATATCAGTTTGTAGCCGGACTATGCACTAGGAAAAGCTGTAGGATCACGGATGTGCTACCATATTGGTCTCATGGAGCGATGACCAACCGCGGTTGTTCCCCTTTGTTGACGTGAATATCGTTAGGCTTCCAGTCCTCTTTCCGAGCACCGTTTCGACACGGTACATTGGATCCGCCCGGAACAAGGGAGATGGCGATGTACAATAGTATTGATCGCGACAGAACATGGTTATACCGTGAGGACAGTAAGCACGGAGCTTAGTTGTTGCATGACCGTCGGTCAAACAACGAAGAAGGATCCCCTCGATATCGGGGATATTCAGGATGAGGTATAGCATCGGTCTTATTATTAGAGTCGAGTTAGTTCGCAGTGCGGCGTCAGTAGTTAAAGTGATAGTCTGTTTGAGCCTCGAACCTGAATGGGGTTGACAAATACCGCCGCCCGCGCCTGCCAATCGTTACCCTGTGAGGGGCGCTGCGTGTTTCCCAAAACGGTTCGTCGTTCTCCTGACTGCGCTAGACTTCTTTGGGCAAAAGCCTGATCGACCGTCGACTCAATTGCTTTGGACTCACAAGGGACTCGGGACCAACTCAACGAGCTGCAATGTACTATGCAGTACTAGTTCCATCCATTTGCATTTCTATCATTCCCTTTCTACGGTATTGTTGAGTCTCTTCCTCCCGTGCAGACCACGATGTGCCCCTTTCTAGACGCTTTGACGGTACAATGGTATGCACAGTATTGCCGCAATTGTCAGACCTCAATGGGCGATTTGGGTGACACGGAGAAGCAGGTTCACTGACCTTAGCTACTACTAGTGCCATGAGGAATTGCGGGGACTATCATCGACTATCAATATGCCAACGACTAAGCTACAGTGCCTAGTATCTTTCCGTACGCGTCCCATCCGCAAGCCGCATGATCCATCCGTTATGGATTACTCCAGCCCTTACCCATTGAGGTTTAAGTCCCTGGGGCCGGTCGCTCGAACTATTGATGCCTGTCGGGGGCAGATCGTGCTGTCGCTTCGAAGCTCGAATTAGACCGAACGCTTTTGCCGGTTTGGATGTACTAACTAAATTAACAATCGTCCCGCGATTTGTTAGCGCATATCCAGTGTGAATTGCCTTGGATCCCTTGCTGGCCTTTCGTGTATGAGGTAAGTTCATTGCTTCATGTGGTCTCGTTTCCCGACTTTGTACGGACTACGCATACTGATGGGGCTATGACTGTCATACGCGATCCTCATTCGTTCAGCTTACGCCAATTTTGCCCGAATTCCAAGTGGTCTCGGTGCAGTGTACAGTACGCGACATCCCTTTCCGATTGAAGGTCAATACTTCGCAAAGAACGGGGAAACCAGCCAGTGTTGTCATATCGTAGCCTGGAGGGTTTACGACACGAAGATCCCCGCAGTGGCTCCCGTTATTCTTGACGGGAATCAATAGTCATGGCCCAGGACAAGCCGGCCGGCTCAAACTTGTCCAATAAGCGAGGCCGCGGGAAATAAATCAAAGCTTTGATCCATCCGAATAAGATCATAGACTCCATACAGCAGCAAGTGTCGGGTACAGTGGCTTCGGCTCCCTCTCACGCTAGGGAAAGCCGTTACGGAATGCCAGTGAGTTACTCGTGATGCTCATCTGGCATCCAAGCTCGCTCTCCGCTCGCAATGAGCGCATGGTGGGTCACACTCTCCTTATCAGACGCACCATTTATGAGTCGTGTTCATGCGAAACTACCGCATCTGAGATTATTGGCCTAGGCCTAATTGCCTGTTCCACTAACCATCTTGTTGGACAATTGGTGGAGATCTAATTCCTAAGGCCAGCTCCCTCGCAACGGGCAATAAGACCCTGTATCGGATTTATCGTACATCGACTCCCTACGCTCTTTCACTGGCTTGAATAATCGTCTATTCCCCGTTGAAGATCTGCCCCGTTTATGCTTTTCAGCACGTTTCGACATTGCACGGATATAAGCGATATTTTCCGTGCTTGAATCAGGTCGCGGAGTATCTCCAACGACAAGTTAGCTTGGAAGCTAGCAGATTACCTATCACTTATAGCACAACAACGGCAAAGACTCAGGAATTCGATGCGTAGGTTTGGGGAGTGGTGGCGAGCTTGCACCTGATTTCCAAGAGCCGACCGGCCAAACTGTTGCACACTGGGATTCATTTGGGTGGCACGTACGAAGACATCCATTCTAGCCTTCACAGTTGTCGGACACACTCCCGTTAGCCCCAAAGGCATTTCCGTGTGGGACCCAACATAGCGCCGTAGGCTATCGTAGTGTCAAGCCGGAGAATTACTGGCTTTCATTCGGGACCATTCGGGCTATTAATGTAGCGGCCTGCCCCTCCAGCACCCACCAACCATCATCATGATAGGGCAGGATATCGCCCTGGTCGAGTGAAGCTTTCCGTTTGAGGATCTCTTTACCAAAGAGATTCTTTCGCACTTATAGAGATGGTTAGGGAGGAGTATGACACTTGCACTTGTTGGCTCTAGACAATGGGAGACATACCGGCCTATGAGTATGCAACTAGAATGAGGGAGGGGCATTGATGTCATCGTACAAGTGCGCATGGCAATCGGTGACTAAACCGGCGTCCATCAGCCATGCGTTCAATGTCTCCTCCTCCGCCCTAGGCGGTTTAACAAGAATGGGGCGGGCCTCGGGAGCTATTTCCAACTCTACTTACTCCTTAACCACAATAACCTACGGCCGGATCAGCTCAAAGGGAACAATAGATTGGGAGTATGTCGCCGACATGAAATACCGAAGCAGAAAGTAAGGTAAAATGTACTAGGAGGAGTGCAAGATTCGCCATTTGTCGAAAGATCCCCAATAATGCATGATTAGAGTACAACAAGTTGCAGTATATGTGTGTGAGCAGGTGAGTGAGTCTCTCATGGCCCTACGGACCGGCGGAAAAAGAAACAGAAAAAAGAGGTACTCAGATTACTGGAGTAGTTCACAAAACTACCACGTTCTTTTATCTTTTCAATCTCCATTGAAACGTCAACTAAATTGGAAATGGCCTGTTCCGTGCCAAATGCATGCATTACTAGTACAGGTCTCTACTTTATGCTTCTTTCTCTCGAACCCGGATAGTCCGAGTGTACTGGTTTAGTGCGGCTAACTTGAACTGCCGAGGTATTGTACTGCACTACACATACAGCATAAATAGAACTTAAGGGCGAGGAAGCGGAAACGTCTCGTTCGTGAGCCCAGTGTAGATAAGTTATTGGTATTCATTGATAATAGTAGTATGAAGAAAGGGTTGAGAGGAAAGAAGGGCGAAACAGGTACAGTACTCCTACTACTGTATGTACCTGTAGTTAGCATCGAGGTCTCGGCTGCGACCACAAAAAAGCCATATGGAAAGGATGAGAAAGGGGTCACACAATGACAGGAATTATCCGTCCAATGTGAATGCCGGACGAGCTTAAAATAATCGTGGATAATAGTGTACAGACTACGGAGTACAGCTGCTGGGTGACGAGTTCTCCATTTATGCCTTGATCGGTCGCGCGTGTCAACTTCCCTTTCCTATTCCTACTTCTCCACCCACCCACCCATCCCTACCGAAGCGGGACTATTGGCAATGGCTGCAGCGGGTGGGCGCCGATGTCGATCCGTCGCCAACTTTGAGGGGCTCTTCTTTCCATTCAACTTTTCTCGCCTTGCTTCCGCTTCTTCTGATTGGCATCATTGCTGAACTACCAAGTTCAGAGGACGAGATATAACCAGAAAAGGCAATTCTCACAGGAAAAACAAATTACGAAAAGAAAATAGAATAAAAATATGAGATTTCTGGTTTAGTCTTTGCAGGCTGGACCACTGCCCACTCGCCCTGCTCACAGATACTGATACTCCTACGTATTCTCTTAAGCTCTTTCTCCCACAGCACAGCAGGCTGCACCTGGCTAGCACTGGGCAATCCCACTTGCTTTCCGGTTTGGGAAAATCTCTAAAACAATTGAATCATTTTCGGGCCTGTGTCACTGACAGCGGCATCCAGTCCCCATCGACCGTCTGATGCAGGCCACTGCTTTTGACCCAGCCAGCTGGTTAGAACAAATGAAATCTTTCCCCCCTCCTCAGAACAGGAAAGAACTCGAATCATTTTTATCCAAAAACATTTTTTTTTTAATCCCAAAGCAATATTTACAAAAATCAGAAAATCAAAACCAAGATAATGTTCGAGATCCCGAATCACCGACAACAAAACCGCAGAAGTAGCTGTCGACCAGAGCATTCACAAATCGGAAAAATGTTGAAAATAAATGCAAGAAAAAAGAAAATTGGAAAAAGAAAAGAAAAAGGAAAATCCCCAAAGGCAATGAATGGGTCCATTCCATTGTTAGGCTGGTGAAGCTATCTGGAAAATGGGGGTTTTATGACAAACCCGCGTCTCAACTCTCCGGAGGATTGGGACCACTCGTTCTCCTGATCCTCCCCCCAAATCTACTCCCGTACATACTGACATGCTTCCAGAGGATACGGAACCAGAGATTCCCCATTCAGATCTTCCCATCAATGAAGATCAAGTAGTCTATCGGCTGCTAGTCGGTGTTGCACTGGGCACCCATTACCCACCCTCAACCTCTCCTCTCATGTCAGCCAACCAAGCAAACAGGGTCCCTTCACTTCAAGAGGGAAATAAATCAATAAAAAAAAGGTATAAGCCTTGCCGCAACCTACGATGATGGACTGGGATCTTTACACCCGTCACATCCCTCTGGGTCCTTCCCTCTTTAGGGTGACTCAACTGCCTTCCAGTTGACTGTCCGTCTGACTGTCTGTCTGTCTGTCTATCGGTTCAAGTGCAGTGCAAACTTCCCCTGGCCCGTTGACCAGCTGCACCTCTGATCTGGACACCGGAGAAAAAACTTCCTATTCGTGTTCTTCGTGTGTTCATATTCCCTCTTCGAATTTTCTATCCTCTCAGACTCACTCCCATACTCACTTCCTCTTGAGGAAGACGGAGTGTGATCTCACCGGATCTATACGCCTCACTTTCCGGTATAGTTCACCACATACCAGCTCACTCACCGATTCCCGCATCTACCGTCGGATGTGACTGAGCCAGTTCATACTCCGTCCTTGAATCTTATATGATGCAGTAGGAAGAGATACTCCGGTCAAGTTGGTCATCTCAAAAAAGGAAGAAGAAAGAAAGCAAAAACCATAAACCCAGAAAGCAAGAGCCGTCACAAAAACAAAAAAGAAGGTTCTTGTTCATTACTGAAAGGTAAGGTACAAAATGGTGTATTTTATTTTCGAATCCATTCCGTGATTATTGCTTTTCCTGTCGTTCTGTGCATTTCCTTGGGCTCCAGTGATCGCCCGCCATGCTGCAATAAATCACTTCAAGATGGGGACCATCGAAGCCATGGAAAACCGCTGTCACGATCTTGCTATCTACTGCGGATCGACGTATCCTCCTTTGTGACTCCTCTAATCGTGAACCTGGACTAATTGATTATAAGCTCCTGTGGCTCCTCTGCCTGCAAGTGTGGAGTTTCAACGATGACTGGCGACTGAACAACACACCGTCTTCGATTTATACAACTGAGCACCCTTTTTAATGTCGGATATGTTGCTTGTTTCAACAGTCAAACCGAACAGCGTCCCTCTACTTTTGTGAACAGTGGCTCTTTTGCCAATCCCGGGACCCAGTATTACCAGATGCAATCACTCGTCCTTCCCCCTTCTTCCTACATCTCTACAGAGTTCGGTCATCCAAGGTTAACCCCAGGCCAAGAGCGGCTTTCGTTCAATCTCCCTCGATCGACAAATGCTCGACGGTACACTCCTCGGGATTTACCGCCCCCTCGCTCTATGTCCGGTCCGGTCCCAGCAGAAGACTCGCTGGAGACTTCTGGGACCGCGAGGCGCCCCGGACATCCGGAGCTCTTCCAACCAGTATCAACCGCGAACGTAACAGCGCCAACGCCGACATCCATTGTTGTTTCTGGATCTCATCTCCCTTCGGGGCCCGCGGGCGCTGGAGCTGTCTCGGAACCGGTGGTGCAGCGCATAGTTTCCGCGCCCGGGGAGGAAGTGATACGGCAGTCGCTCAGTGTTAGCGATGCATTCTCTTCGACACGACTCCCACCGTCGCTCGGAGCTCAACCTTTATCGCAATCTTCGGCGGTTGCCTACGCCCCGCCTTCGTTCGGATCGTCGCCCCCGGATGCCTCTACCCGACCACTACCACAAAAGCCAACGAGACGCACAAAAGCGCATGTCGCATCAGCGTGCGTGAACTGCAAAAAGAAACACTTGGGCTGTGATCCAGCGCGGCCATGTCGGAGATGCGTTCTGTCAGGAAAAGAAGTAAGTGTCGATGGGGATTCCCGCTCAATCACTCTGGGAGAGTTTGCCCACTCTTGTTGCCTCGATCCCACATGCCAGCCTGAAGCTTGCACCGTGCTACTGAATGGGGATAGATGTGCTAATATCTCGGTAGGCTACATGTGTAGATGTCACACATAAGAAGCGAGGGCGACCGCCGCTGAAGGCGGAAGAAGCATCCCTCAGAACGTATGCCGCACACCTGGATCGGGCAACTGCCGGGGAACCTCATGGCTCTCAATCGAGACGGACACACATGCATCGAGCAACTTCCTCGCGGGAAATACGCCCCGTGACAGATTTGCAAATGATGGGAGGTCAAGCAGGAGCAACGGCCATGAGGGCCTCGTCAGGACATCCGCACCGGTGGTCTGCTTCGATGTATTCCCATGCCCTGGATCCTGCCATGACAATGCAAAGAAGCATCGGTCATCGGAGATTCTCCTCCTCTGGTTCAGTTCACTCGATGACGGCAACATCGCCGCCCACCTATGTGCCGATGCCTGCCGGGTACAATCCCGCGTTGGGAATGGGTCGCATGCCTACGGGAGCTGGAAGGCATCTGTCCTCTTATACCCAGCAAGCCTTGAATCCTGCTACGACCCCGCCGCAATACCAACAACAATTTATTCCGATGTCGCCTTACGCGGAGGCCACGAGGATGGCAAATCGAATGCCGATGGGGGAAATGCCAGTAGGAAGGGATCTTCGTGAAGGGTACGGCGAATCGCCGGTCAGGCTTCCCCCGATCTATGCGCCGACGATGGGAACACCGGCTCATGTGTCGCAAGGCCATCGCTTAAGCAGTGACCCATACCCTGCAGTTTGGTCGTCGCCCATGCGAGAGGACTACTTGTCACAAGAACATCGACAACATATGCCACCGCACGGATATATCGAGCCGATCTCGCCGGACAGCCAGATGCGTCCGGGAGGATCCGATTCAGCATACGTCGATCCAGCATTGCGACACTTGGGATCCATGGTTCCTGGTACAGAAGGGCAATCGCTACATCTGTCCCCTTCGCAAGCTCAAACGGAGCAATCTGCGGCTGAAGCTCATTCACAAGATTCAAGGCCAGCCAAGCGGAGAAAAATGGCTTTGGATGATATGGTCAATGACTAAAAACTATCATCATGTCATTCTTCAGACTATCATCCTATATCCATGCCCTGATAGCTTGATCTGAGGAGGCTCGGCTTGTAGCGGGTCTGCAACAGAGACGATCATGACGCACACTTTCTTTTGTGATATGCTTCGTTCTCGCTTACGATTTTTCTCATCTTTCTGTCTATATATTCACCATCTTTCTCTTTCCTTTCCTTTCCTATGTGTTCTGTCGACTCGGCATCCTTGACTTTCAGCGCAAGAGCGCCGTCCATCTAGTTACGACCAAATTTTTTTCCTTTGTCTTTCTCTGGAGCGGCATGATTGATCTACTCTTGATACTATGTTTCCTATATTCTGTTGTTCGACGCATAGCGTGTTGCAGCCATTCTTTCAAGATACACTCCATGGTTTCTGATTACTCGGTCTAACTGTCATAGACGGCGTTGTGGGATTCCAAGCATTTCAACATCCACGGTTACTGCATTGCTGCATTTGGGGGGGGGGGGGGAGGAAAAGATCTATTGTACCTTAATCGGATTAAATGCCAGGCTATGTAGACGCCGGTGCTAATGTGCTGCTGGACAGATCCTTAATATAAATGTGGGGTGCTTTGGTAGAAGTTTTGAAGCTTGATTTGTGTTAACGATGTTGACACCCATTCATACGTCGCGTATAACTGATATTCCCCGATCATGCACTCTCTTATATCCTAGTAGTCCGGTTGCGGATCTGAGGCTCACATCTCCAACCTTCGGAAGTTATCTGACTACGTCGCTACCTTGGCCGTAGCAGCTGAACTGTCTAGATATTTCGTGGGCTCGAGGTGGCTGGAGTGGGTCTTTCAAGAATTGAGGCTGGCGACAGCAGACTTGGTAGTCTTAGTTTCGATGAAGCATTGCTCAGATATGGCTAATAAGTGACCTACTGCTCGACCGTCAACCTTAGTATGGCGCAGAAGGTACCAGCCTAGCTGCCAAACTCACCTCAGTGGAAAGGCAAGGTTCAGCCTGTATACCGAGACCAAGGGTGAGCACTTTCCAATACAACCTCACTGGGCCAGATGGAGAGCGTATCCTGTATATCTGATCAAGGTTATTTGGAACGCTTTCTCTTCCCCACTGCGATGTCTTCATCTTGGAGTACAGGCTGGAATCAACAACTGACAGAATCAATGTTTGATAGAGTTCTGAACTCATGAGACCTCCCTCCACTAGAGCCATTGTCACGGGACCTGTCGGCTCTTTTCTCTATTCTCCTACCAGGAAGAACCCGGCACTGTCTTTCTTTCCACCTAGCGTCCGGCATATATCCATAGATAGTTTTCTGGTTTACTTGCCTGCGAGATTCATCCAGTCTGTTTCTTCTTTTCTACGAAGACTCGGAATATACACCCAATCAGCTGGCGAACAGGGTACTCCAAGCTAGAAAGGCTTCATATCCCTCCTTCCCCACAGCACAAGGGGATAAACCGAGTCCGGTTCGCTCGTGGAAGAACGAATTTCAAAGGTGACCGAGCTTGCACATATCACCCACCCCTGTTCCTGAGCCTGCATTTGTCCTCAGCATGCATGTTTGCTTCATGATTCCCAAATACTGATTGGTCACTTCGACCATGTGCAGACACGCAATAGATCACTTGCTCCCCACGGATTTCGTCGTCAACTTCCGGGAAATGTTTGCGCAGTCTCCGCGGCGGATTTTCACTACGTGTCTCGGATTGATCCGCATCCTCGTGAAGAGCCAGCTCATCCTCCACATTGTATGGACTTGAACTTACAGGATGGTATCTATTACCGTTGCCACCGCAGCCTACGAGATTCCAGCTCCTCCCTCCTTCTGAGGACATGCAGCATCATTGAACCACCAGAGCAGTTTCCCCCCCTTCTAATCCGGACACACGCATGGCTAATATGTACGGGACCACGTATCAACCTGCAGACCGGAAGTGAAGAAGGGTCCTCCTTTCCGGGGACGGGGGCTCGGAGAGACCCCCAAACTCCATGGGTGCTTACCACCTGTCGCCTGTGGGCGCGCTCCACGTTGTCAACCCGCAGGCATGGCATAACAAAGCGGACCAAAACAGAAAAACAAAGAGTGTGTCGGAGACATGAGGTGGCCCTTCCCTGTTGCCGCATTTGGAGAAGCCTGTGTTTTGGGTGCGGTCCGCATCCATGGAAGAGGCGTTTTGAATGTGACCGTCCGGGATACAGCGGGTATTTAATGGCCTCGTGTGACTCCTTTCTTCACGGGTGCATGAACTACTCTATTGTTCTATGGTGTGGTAGGTTCTTCGCTTGTTTGCGTAGAATGTGAGGCTGATTCAGGTGATCTACGGATTGTGTGGTGGGTGGGCGCTGATGCTTTTCATGGATTGAAGATCGCGTTGGTGTCGTTCCTATTCGAAGGTAGAGTTGCAACTCGCGAAAGGGTACTTGGTTATGCTGATTGCGCATTCTAGGGAATAGCGATTACGCCCTTGAAATGTCCAGGATGGAAGAGCCATTTTGAGACGAGATATGGAAATGAGATGCTCACCACTTGTGAACCAGATTGCACAGCACTTGCCACGAGGGTGTTCACTGACATAGAACATGGACCACTAGGGGCATCAATTGCGATGCACGTGGATCTCCGATCTCGATTGTCATTGGTGATAGACATTCAGGGTTGAAGGTCGACTGAACAACAACTGCAGGAACTGGGCTATATTGGGAGGTGATATGCTTATGATATGTGGCCGATCCAGATGATGTAAAACTTGCTGACAGACGATAACTAAATTAGGGGTCTCCCCATCTATAATGCCGAATTTGCCTTCAATTTTTGGGCTAGAACGTCTGCGCGGCCGATGCCCATCAAGGAAACCTTGACGAGTGCGTTTCACCTTCCATCGCCTAGTTCAACAAAACACCGAGGTCCACAACTAATTCAAAGTGGCTGGTTCTCTCGTTTAGACCAATGTCAGCTTATTATGGCTAGATTCTATAAGCGTACTTCAGACATCGACATCTCAACAGCGTTGTCGTGGGCGGGCTGCCAGTGGCTGAGCACAGCTCGGAATCACTCCGCTACGGTTACGATATACATAATTATCATATCTAAGCTCGCTTATCATAGATATGAACGAACTTGGCATGCCGCTTTGATGCATCGTTTAAAATAAGATGTGGATGGCGACAGCAGCGATCAATCAAGCAAGCGCTTGCGCGACTTAGCGTTAAATGCTGTCATCGGCCCCTGCAATCGTGCAATCAACATCTCCTCACCAACATGAACACTCATCGCCACAGAGATAACGAGAAGCCTGGTTACTCAACTTCGCATGCCTTCAGACAGAGCACTATTGTTGTGTATGTTCAATTGACACCTCAACCTCACTCGTATTTTTGATATCTGCTGGCTCGCATGCCTTCAGAACCCAACCCTAACTGTGCCTGGTGCCTGGGGTCAAGCAGATCGGCGCGGCCCGATATCCAGCTTCCAAAATGCCGACGTCAACCCACTCAGCTTTCTTTCCCCGCGTTCTTAGTTTAAGCACCTCATTTACTCTAGCATGTCGCCTTCCATTGAGCCATGCAAGATGAGCGCATTCAAGCAATCGCGTCATCAAATTCTACAATGAGCACCGTGAAGATAGCATCGCCGCCACCTTCCTCCCCTTCAACCATGCTGATTTAATAACTACAACTGCCCCATCATAGACAAGATGTGAGCCAAAGGTCCGTCTTGATTGTCATCTTAGTCAAGGTTGATCGAATCATGGGTTTCAAAATATTCACCAAGTCGGCAGACATCGAGGCTGATGAGCGCTCTGATGAGTTCAGCGTCATCAACGATGGCAACCTGAATTATACTGCTGCCGGGGGAGCCAATTCTTCCAAGTTGACCTATCAAGAAGCCAGCGGTGCTCCCATCGAGACCAAGTCTCCCTTAGGATACTCTGTAGGCGCGGTGACGGTGGTTGGCCTCAACCTGAACCAAATGATTGGAACCGGTGTTTTCTCGACTCGTACGTTGACAATGCCACTATTCTTTTGATCTCAGCTAACAATATCGAAGCTGCAACGGTTCTCTCCGGAGCTGGCTCAGTGGGCCTTGCTTTGTTTTACTGGGTGATTGGCTTTTTCATGGCCGGTAGCATGCTTGGAGTCTACCTCGAGTTCCTATCATATTTCCCGAGTCGGTCCGGCTCCGAAGTGGTGTACCTCGAACAGTCATACCCACGACCGAAATACTTCTTTCCTACCGTCTTCGCCATGCAGACTGTTCTCTTCTCATTTGCCAGTAGTAATGCTGTTGGTATGTAGCCTGGGCAGAGGATCTTTCGGCGCAAGGGCTTATGATTTTCGCAGTGCTGGCCAACTATCTCTTCAAGCTCGCCAATGTGGATTCAACCGCATGGATGCAGAAAGGCGTCGCAGTGGCTGCGTACACAGTTGCCGTCCTTTGTTAGTTATCCCGAGATCATCTTCCCTAACGATTTCCTCTAATCTTGGAATTAGTGCTGGCTTTTAACACGAAATGGTCGCTTCGGCTGACTGATGCCATCGGATTTGTCAAGACCATCACACTGATCTTGTAAGTTCAGCCTTTGTGTATCGGCGCGAAATACTGACCGAAACCCAGTATTGGAATCACCGGGCTCGTGGTCCTCGGTGGGCACACATCTGTCAAGGATCCCACCGTCAACTTTCGGGATGCCTTCGCTGGAACTTCGGAAGCGTCAGTATATGGTGCCACGAATGCCCTGGTCAAGGTCATGTTCTCGTACGCTGGCTACAGCAACGCATGCAATGTGGCGAACGAAGTCAAGGTGCGCGGTCTGTTTCCGGATTGCTCTGCACGACATATACTGATTCTGATTCTGGCTAGAACCCAACCAAAACGCTCAGCTGGAGCGCTCCAGCCTCGCTCTTCTTGGTCGCGGTGCTGTACATGCTGGCAAACATTGCGTACTTCTCTGTTGCCACCAAGGATGAGATTCTCAACTCCAGCACGGTCGCCGCTGGCCTCTTCTTCGAGAAAGTTTTCGGCTCGTCGGGGGCATCCCGGGCTCTCAACTTTTTGATCTGTCTCAGTGCCATGGGCAACTTGCTAGCTGTGCTCATCGGACAGTCTCGCGTGCTTCGAGAATGCGGAAGGTATGCGCCAATGACTGTTCCATTCTCTGAGTTGAAGAAACCGCAGACTGACAGCCTGAACTAGACAAGGCGTCCTCCCCTTCACGACATTCTGGACTTCAACCCGCCCCTTCGGCACCCCGCTCGGCCCATACTTCGTGAAGTGGTTCCTCACCGTCATCATGATCCTGGCTCCCCCAGCGGGCGATGCCTTCAGCTTCGGTACGCACCGGCTATTCACCACTAAACCCCCCCAATCTGAATCACAAACGAACTAACAGCGGGCATCCACAGTTGTGGATCTGGGCGTGTACCCCAGCAATGCATTCAACCTCCTCCTCGCCGTCGGGCTGCTTATCACCCGCCGCCGCCGCCAGCGTCTGAACATCCCTTCGTCAGGCTACCAAGCATGGACCGTGACCGTCGGCTTCGCCATCCTCTCCAGCTTATACATGCTCGTGGCCCCGTGGTACCCGCCTTCCACCGGCGCGGACGGCGGCGACGTGAGCTTTTGGTATGCGACCTATTGTGTCGTGGGTCTCGCTATGTACGTTCTGCCCCTATCTCCCCAACATATCAAATGTCTAGCGACCACTACCCGCATCCCTGTCGTCGCAACCAAGCGCTAATGAATATTGATCAACCAGTGTCGCCCTGTGCGGAATCTACTACTACATCTGGATCAAGGTGCTCCCGCGCCTCGGCCGCTACGAGTTCCGCCAGACCCAGATCCAGGTCGACGAGGACGCGACCGCTAACAAGCTGGTCAAGGTGCCCGTGGACCGGCTGGAGGAGTGGGATCGGGAGCACGATGCGCTGGGCCGAGTGCGGCAGAGGGCTGCTGTCCGGACGGCGTCCAATGAGACGGGGGAGATTGTGTATGAGACCAAGGCATGATAGCGTTGAGACTATCTATCTTATAGGCTGTGCCTTTCTGGAGGGGGGAGGGTGAGCTGTCGTGGGTAGTGGGAAGTGGAGTGGTTTTGACTGTATATACGTCTTTATCTTTGTATCTACGCAAAAGTTTCTTTTTGATGGAGCGTTTGGAACAGTCAGGTCAGTAGTCTACCATAGGTATAGAGTAAGGTGCAAGTAAGTATGCTCAGCCACCAAGCATGGCTAGTGAGCTCGGCACTTCAGAACCTACTAACCCCAACCACGTACTCCTTCAACCATGGCCCAACAGGACAAGGAGATACTACGCAATCCACTCCAACTCCAACACGCTAAGAACACATACACATACACATACACATACACATCAAGAAGAAATTAGGATTAGGAAAACTAATTATTATAAACACCATAACCCCGCCGAACCGATTCAATCAGAAGAAAAGCCACATGCCCACCCGCTTCACCTTGCCAAACAACCCCTTCTCCTCTTTCTTAAACCTCGCCAGGAACCCTCCTCCCTTTTCTTCTGAGGTCTCCGCCTCGAATCCCCGCGCCTCCGCTGCAAGCGCCCCATGCGCAAGATCGGCATCCTCGCCCTCGATATGCGCCAGGTTATACCGATCCGTAATCAAATCCATCTGGTCGACGCGGACGAACTTGGTGCGCTTGAACAGCTTCCACCCGACAAACATGACAAACATGATGGGGAGTTCGATGTAGTACGAGACGAAATCCACGGCGTGGAAGCTGGGGCTGAAGCACGACCAGCCCTGCACGAGGATCAGGACGGCGTTGAGGACGATCGCGATGATGGGGCCGACGGGGTAGGTCCAGTTCTTGTAGGGGAGGAGGTGCTCGAGGTTCTGGTGGCGGATGCCGGCGCGGAAGCGCAGGGAGGCCACGCCGATGAAGAGCCACGAGAGTTGGTTGGAGACGCCGACGATACTGTTGCACTCATGTGTTAGAGTTTGGGGGGAAAAGGGGATGAGGGCAAGGGGGGAAGGGAGGATTTACTTCTGAAGCCACGACCACAGTTGGCCGGCGCCGATGTAGCTGGCGCCGAAGCAGAGTCCGCTGATCACCGAGGTCGCCAGCACGGCGACCCAGGGGACTTGGAACCGGTTCAGGTGCCCGAACACCCGCGGCGCGTAGCCGTCGACCGCCAGTGTGTAGAGGAGGCGCGAGCCCGCGAATAGCGCGTGGTTGGCGGCGGAGATCACGCTCGTCATGATCACGGCGTTGATGAAGCTGCCTGCCACGGTGCTGCCGGCTTCGACGAAGACGATCGTGAACGGGCTGGTGGCTGTCGTCTTGGAGGAGAGGCCCGGGTAGTTGTAGGGGACGTCCAGGCCGATCAGCACGATCGAGACGATGTAGAAGAGGACGATGCGCCAGAAGACGTTGCGGACGACCCGCGGGAGGGTCTTGGAGGGGTTCTTGGTCTCGCCGGCGGTGATGGCGATGGATTCGGTGCCGCCGCTGCGGGAGTGGTTAGTCTCGCGTGAGCTGGAATTGCGCTGTGGCCGGGGATTGTATGAGGGAAAAGAGAGGGGAAATCATACTAGGCGAAAGACGCGGTGACAAAGACAGAGGCAAATCCTCCGATTCCACCGACGAACGGAGCCTCTCCGGTGTAGAAGAATTTGTTTCCAATGTAGGTGTGATCCTTGTTTCCGCCGCAGTTGACCACGATCCCGAGGATGATGAAGATCTATGGTCGAATTAGCACACAAGCCAGTGCATATCAGATGCTGCACCAAGATGAAGAACATACAATAATGGTGACGACTTTGAGCAGACTCAGCCAGTACTCGATCTGCAGCGCAACCCAAGTTAGCCAATACACCAATCCAGCATTCACGGCGAAACAAACCTCTCCATAAACCTTCACCGACATGACATTCAGAAAGATCACCACAAACAGGAAGATCAAACTGATCGCCCACCCGGGAAAGTTATCCGTCCAGAACTCGAGAACCAGCTGCAGGGCTATAATATCCGAGGCCGTGGACACAGCATCGTTGAACCAATAGTTCCACGTCAGAGCGAAGCCCAGAGCATCATCGACGAAACGACTAAAGACGAAGCGCCCCACATTCTGTTAGCCTCGATTGAACGCACACACCAAAAACAGATGAAGCAAACTTACCCAGCAAAAGTACAGAACGAGCCCGCGACGGGGATGAAAGCAGCCATCTCACCGAGCGACAGCATCGTCACGTAGACGATGGCACCGCAGATGATATAGGAGGTAAGCATGGACGCCGGGCCACCGGTGGCCAGCGACTTGCCCGTTCCCAGGAACAGACCCGTGCCGATGGTGCCGCCAATGGCAATCATCTGCACCTGCCGGGCAGAGAGCTTGCGCGCCAGCCGATCCGCGCGGACGAGTTGCGCGTCTGCATCGACGAAGCCGCCAGATGCGCCGGGCCCTTTGGCCGGAGGAGCTCCTGCTTCGGCAGCAGCAGCAGGCTGCTTCTCGATGTCATGGGCTGCCATGGTTGTGTCTCAGAATGAACAAGGTTGTGTAGAGCTGTGAGGTTTCCATGTTAGTACATCCACAATGGCTGTAGAAAAAGCTAGGTAGGTAGGTAGGTAGGTAGGTAGGTGTGTTATGGATGTTAATGGCTCACCAAGTATAGAGCAGGCAGACCAGCCCGTCCACCAATGACAATGGACTTCCCAAAGCAGTGTCTCAAGTACCACGTGACCTGGGGAAAAGTGGAACCCCCAGACAAAACTGAACTAAGCCGAGAAGACCAAGAAAAAAACTGGGCTAAATCTGCAGTCCAGATCGGCGTTTCAGCGCTATATGAACTGTTCAAACCTCCTGGGCAAGAACTTGAACCAGGGAAAAAAGAAGTCCATCTTCAACTGACAGCTCTCGCACCATCTTATTCTGCAATTGAAGTTTTTGCCGTTAGCGGATGGCGTGATTGAAAAGTCTTACGTAGCAAGAATGGGAATTGGCCATCACCGTCGCAAATTGTTCGATGGAACTGCCGATGCAAAGCGGTCCGGGACCCACCGCTCGGCTGTCAGCCACGTGATTGGGATTCCAAGACCAGATAGAGTTATCGAGGTGCGCAACTTTAGATACGAGCATCAGATCGAATTGATAGGTGGATGCACTGCACTATATACTAGTACTAGGTATGCATGCAAAAGATATTGAACCAATGGAAATGCTTTTGAGATTATCCGCTATGTAACAAACCAAATAAGAAACAATATCAGACTCAAGGATATACCCATTGCAGAGAAGACGACCGTGAAACCCCCCCAGCCAAACTACCCCAGCAAGCCTGCAGCCAACGATTCCAGATCCTCCAAGGTCTGGATCTGCTGCTCGGGCTCTTTCCGGGACTTCTTGGCCTTCTTGGACTTGGGCTCGTCGTCGCTGTCGTCGTCCATGAACCACTTCTTGGGACGGGGGGCCTCCTCTTCCGCCTCCGACGCAGAGAATCCGCCATCCATGTCGCGGTCGTCGTCCTCCTCCTTGTACGGAGCCAGGTAGGCCACTCTCTCCTCGCCCTCGCCTCCCTCCCCTGCCTCCGCAGCCAGCAGCTCGCGCTCGCGGGCCTTGCGCTTCTCCTTCTTCTCGCGCTTCTTCTGCTTGGCCACCTCCTTGTCCTCCACATCCGCCCGCCGCGTGCGCTCGGCCTCCTCCGCCAGGAAGCGAGCCTGCTGCTCCTTGGCATCGCCCTTGGCCTTGAAGTCCTCCTCGTCCTCCATCTCGTACAGCTCGTGGGCGTTGCCCTCGTCGTCGAAAACGAGTTTCGATCCTTTGCCCTTGAACTTGAGCAACTTCTTCTTCGACTTGAGCAGCTTCTCCCGGCGCTTGGAGTCGATGACCAACGCCTGCTTGCCATCCAGCTGCACCACCTTGGTCGGTTGTTTCTTCCCCGCGCCGGCCTCGTCGTCATCCTCCTCCGAGCTGGATCCAGCTCCCAGATCCTTGTCTCCGGCTTCGAAGCGACGTTTGACGGACAGGAAGTCATCATCCTCATCGGCATCCTGCGTGGCGGTGTTGGGCTCGACCATCGTGCCGTCATCGTTGATGAGTTTCGAGTAGTGCTCGGCCAACACATCCTGGTTCCGTCGCTCGAACATGCGGTCATACTTGGTCCGTACTTGGGGCTCTTCCTTCTTGGTCTTCTTCTTCTCGCCATCTTCATCCGACTCGTCGTCGCTGGACGCGTAGGCGGCCAGACGGGGCGCGTTCTTGCGCTCCTTCGTATCCTCACCCTTGATGAACTTGATGCGGGGCGCACCAGGAAGACCCAGACTAGCCGCAAACTCCTCCAGCTTGAGATTCTTGACGTCGAACGTCTCCTTGTCCTTCTGAACGTAGATAGACTTGACATAGGAAATGAAGGCCTTCTGGCCCAGGTACTTCAACTCGGGGTCCTTGAAGCACATATTCTGCAATTGGTCCTTGATACTCTGCTGCTTGTTCGCCTTTACGTTGATTCGCTCGACCTGAACCTTTTTTTGCTCCAGACTCTTCAACATTCCCTTCTCCTCGCTGGGGTCCAGGAACAGTACCGCGCGGCCGTCGCGCTCGTACCGTGCCGTACGACCCACACGGTGGATGTAGGTATCAGCGTCCTCCGGGCAATCCAGCTGAATGACCCAGTCAACAGCCGGGAAGTCCAGCCCACGCGCGGCGACATCGGTGGCGAAGAGCACGGCGTGTTGTGCCGACGAAAACCGGGTCGTGATATCGAGTCGGCCGCCCTGCTTCTGTCGGCCGTGAAGATGCATCAAGGGAATCCCGGGCTGCATGTGCCGGAAGGTTTCGTAAACGAACCGCACCTGCTTGCCGGAAGAGAGGAAGACAATGGTTTTGGTTTTCAGGTTGCTTCGGATGAAACTCCACAGGACATCAAGCTTTTGTGCGAGGGGAGTGACGACGTAGTGTTGTTGGAGTTTGGAGGGGGTGGCGGACGAGGCGGCCTCGTGGACAGCCACGTATTCTGGATCCTGGAGACTCAGTCGCGCCAGGTCGGAAACCTTCTTTGTCTGCGTTGCGCTGAAAAGCAACGTCTGGCGCTCCTTCGGGAGATGGCCGATGATCGCGTCCACGGTCTTCTGGAATCCCATATCCAGAATGCGATCCGCCTCGTCCAGAACAAGCATCTGTAGGTTGTATGTATCGAACAAAGCGGTCTGATCCAAGTGCTGCAGCATCCGGCCAGGCGTACAGACCAGAATGTTCATCCGTCCCAGTCTCTCCTGCTCCTCACGCAGACTCTTTCCACCGATGACGAGACCTGCAGAGAACTGGTGGTAGCGACCAACTTTGCGGAGGACTTCGAAGATCTGGATCGCGAGTTCGCGGGTCGGAGAGAGAACGAGGGCGCCCAAGCCGTCTTGCTCCGCCCATTGTTTGCGGTAAAGGTTCTCGAGGATAGGGACCAGGAAAGCCAGAGTCTTGCCGCTTCCCGTCTTCGCGGCGCCTAGAACATCGCGGCCCTTGAGCGCATGACTGATCGCACGAGACTGGATATCGGTCAGGGTCTTGTAGTGAGATGAGGCGAGTCCGGAGGCGGTCGGTTCAGACAGAGGCAGATCGGTGAATGATTTGAGTGAGTCCTTGACATCGAGCTCTTCCACTCGCTGGATGAGGGAAGACAGATCGTCTTGGGCACGCTTGCGCTTCAAATTACCGGCCCGTTGAGGTGGTTTGCTTTGCTTTTTATCACGAGAACCGTGAGTCGGAGCCATAGTGGGCTAGTCTGGAAGATCGAATCCCACAAGTGCGTCCACGAAAAGCAGAAGGCGAGAACCGGTATCGTGAGGGAACAATAGTAATGAAACAATGATTTGGTGCTGATCAGGAATGCGAATCTCGATCTCCGGGCGGTGAAGCAACTTTTTTTTCTCTCTTTTTGGTTGCCAGGCGGGCGCTCGCCGATGACTCAGCCAGCGATAAGCCAATGCTTATCATCGATCTCCATTCGACTTGCAGACACACGACCAGTGCGACCCTGGGGAGAGCTGCTTGTTCTTGACCTGGACTCCCGGAAACCAAGCATCATGGCCTCCGAGGAACAAGATGCACTGGACGCTCTCGAGCGGGAAGCGTCCGATTTCGACAAGGTGCCTTCCTTCTCACCCCCATCGTCCCCATTGACAATCCTGTTGCTGACGCTAAGTCCGATCGCAGGATGCAGAGATTGATCGGATTAGAAAAGCTTTTGTCTTGGACGCGTAAGTTATGCGCAGTGTACTGCAAGACTTTATACTTGTCAAAGCGTGGCACCTAGATGCTAATCCGCGATGGTTGAGATAGATACGCCGTCCTCGACCTACAGCCGGGAGTCACAGAGAAGGATATCAAAATGTGCTATCGCAAAAAGTCCCTTCTGATTCACCCCGATAAGACCAAGAACCCGGCCGCCCCCGATGCCTTCGACCGCCTCCAGAAAGCGCACTCCGCACTTATGGACGAGAAGAAGCGCGAATACCTCGACGAATGCATTGCGGATGCGCGACGACTGTTGATCCGCGAACACAAGTACACCCTCGACTCTCCGGAGCTGAAGACGGAGGAGTTCAAGAAAGAATGGCGTCAGATGACGGTCACGGTGCTCTTGGAAGAAGAGGCGCGGCGGCGCAGGCAGGCCAAGGCCAAGCTGCAAGAGGAAGGACGCGAACGGCGCAAGGAAGAGGAAGAATTGGAGGCACGGAAACGAAAACGCGACCAGGACAAAGCCTGGGAGGATACTCGCGACGAACGGATTGGCAGCTGGCGCGACTTCCAGAAGGGACATAAGAAGGAAGGGGACAAAAAGAAGAAGAAGAAAATGAAAGTGCTGGGCTGAAAATGCCCCACCACGAAGCCCGGGGTATCCAGCAAGTACCGGCGATTTTTGACTCTCTGGAGTATGAGAGCTTTAGTTTTGGGGACGATAGTCTTAATGAAACCTATATACCATACTGTTTGCCTTCAATGCTTCTGCTCTAGGGCGTCTATCAATCGATATACGGAAGTATGTTCAGTCACTCTAGATGGGACCCGCTCAGCAGAGGCACCGTCACTCAGGGTGAGGCAGAGCATGAATTCAGCTGATGCTTGTCTCTATGGATGGTCTATAGAACCGCAAGCTTTAGACAGCCCCGGAAAAGAATACAACCACGAGCAGCTGAAGCATAAACAAGCGGGTCTTGCTCGCCACACACTCCGTCCTTGGCTCTCCATACAATACCCCAAGTTCTGGCTGAGTATTTATGCCCGTGAAGACCTGCACTAAAGAGAACATCCACTTCAATCAATAAATAGTGGGAACAAAGCGATTCAATCAATTGCATTGATATCCGATCACACGGGCGATAAGAAGGCGGTGAGCCGCGGAGGAAGGAAGTTCGATGCGGGGGGCAGAAAGAACATTCCAGTCCAGTCCCAGCGGCAGTGGCAGTCAGTGGCAGTGGCAGCGTCACAGCCTTTCCGCCTTTCTGTCCTCCCCCAAACCCTCATCAATCAATTGACCGATTCCAGCCCATTGAACAATCACATTCAGGGGTTCGCAACTTTTTATTATCTACTTGCCGTGCCCTAGCCTTCCTCTACATTCTACACACCTCTTCTTATATATTTCTTCCCATTACATTGCTTCTACATATCACGATACCTTACTTGTACTAAGACGGTACTAGTACCAACGAACTTAGCCTAGGCTGGCACTCCGCGGCATCAACCACACCTATTTCGGCCGCCCTAAAAAGCAAGCTGATAACCACCGATCCCGAGTCATCGCTACCAAGCCCCTCCACCTTCTCCCACCTTTTCCTCCTCCGCTGCCCTCCCTTACCTCTTTTTGCCTTTGTCTCCTTGCCCTACCACTTCCCCCCAAAGGGACCCAGAACCAGAACCATGCCCTCCGAACCGGCCACGTCTCAACCAAATGGCACCTGCGCAAGCGCAGCCGCACCCCACACTCCTACGGCATCATACCCCGCCGCTGCGGCCGATGATGCCGAGCAGCAGGCGACAACAGAAGCCAACCCAATCCCCCTCAAGACCGACGCGACTACCAGCAAAGACAAGGGCGATGACAAGAACAATGACGAAAGCACCACCGCACCCCCGCCACTAACGACCACCATCGCCGCCCTGCATGACCAGATCCAACGCTTCCTCTCCGAATCTCACCCCGCGGACTCTCTCCTGGCCGCGGTGCAGAAGCAAACGCGCGTGACCCTGGACGTCTTCGCCGCGGCCCTGGACACTTTCCCGCTCGAGAACCTCTCCCTCTCCTACAACGGCGGCAAGGATTGCCTCGTGATGCTCGTTTTGTTTCTCGCGAGTCTCCACAACCTGCCGACGAGGACGACGACGAGCCAACAACAACAACACCAACAGACACAAACCACACAATCACAACCACAACAAGAATCACAACCCCAAACCCAAGCAGACACACAAACACAAACTCAACCGCAACCACAAACCTCGCCGACAACGACAGACACCACCAACAACAACAACAAACTCAACTCTCTGACCTCCATCCCCGCCATCTACGCCCTCCCGCCCGACCCCTTCCCCGAAGTCGAAGAGTTCGTCGCCTGGTCCGCTCGCCACTACCACCTCGACATGGTCAAGTACACCACCGACCCGCCGCGCACCACCATCCGCTCCGTCTTCGCCGACTACCTGGCCCAGCACCCGGCCGTCCGCGCCATCTTCGTCGGCACTCGCCGCACCGACCCCCACGGCGCCCGCCTGACCCACCAGGACTACACCGACAGCGGCTGGCCCCAGTTCCTGCGCTACCACCCCGTCATCGACTGGCACTACACCGAGATCTGGGCCTTCATCCGCCACCTCGGGCTGCAGTACTGCGCCCTATACGATCAGGGGTACACCAGTCTGGGCGGCACCGCCGATACGCGGCCCAACCCCAAGCTGCTGCTGCGGCGCCCGGGGACGGAGGAGTCCGAGGCCGGCGGCGCGGAGCAGTCGCGGTATCGTCCGGCGTATGAGTTGACCGAGGATTTGGAGGAGAGGTTGGGCCGCAATTGACGTCTGAATGGGATTTGTCATTTGCATTCCTTAGGTACCGGGAGTCGACCGGTTCAGCGTGCATAGAAGCAACTTTGGGGGACAGATTGCCCACCGTCCCTCTCTTTGAACTTCATGGCATTGCCAACGTTATCCCCGACATGACTTCGAGGGTAAATGGCTCGCCTCCTTCAGCCTTAAAGTTGATAGGCACCAGCACCAGCAGTGCTGCTTGCTACGTGCAGGAGGACTCTGGTTTCGCAGTATCATTATTACTATTATTCCCAGCCTGTAGACTGCATTGATAGTTTTATGGAGTCGAAAGGAGTAACCATGATTAGACACATACAGGAATGCCACTTTTCCACTCAGTCCCATTGCTTCATGATCCTTTCACCCGTCTCTCATGAGTACCAGAATGGCCAGGTTGTAAGAGATACAAACTCCTAAATTGGACATCATTCTGCTGAAAATACAATCGTGGCTGTCGTCAAGAAATGAAGAACAAATAACACGCAAACGGCAAAAGCTCAAGAAGACGAACAAAAGCAATGCATCAAACATTAAGGTGATATGACATCTGAAATGGATGAGCAGTCGAGACTTGTATCAGTCATCCGTCTCCGTGGTTAACATGTGGACCTCTACACATGCAGTTGAATGGGCGATACTTCTCAAAGGACATGACGCATAGCACAGCCTTTCATGCCCCTCAAACGGTTGTTCGCCACTGAAGATAGGGGGAAATCGGAATCTTGAACAGAAAGAGGAAAGTGAGAAATAAATAAAAGCAAGCGCACGTTGCATAGGGAAGCAAGCGTACTAGGCACGGTTGACATTCAATCCTCAGATCACCGAGCGGGGTGAAGTCACGATAACCTCCTTGCGTGCTGAGATGGGAGACACGGAACCAGCCTTGACGTTGCTCTTGCGAGGACTAGACTGCTCGGAGCGAGTCTCAACACAAGGAGTTGCTGGAAAGTTCATCTTTGAAGGACCGCCAGAGACGTTGTCAGTCCAGGCATTGCGTTGCCCTCGACCGAGAGGTGTGTTCTCCAAGGCTCTTGGCCCGCCTTTGGATGACCAAGAGTTGAAGCGCACGTTCCCCGCCTGGCTCTTCATCAGGGGATACCTGCTTGTATCGTCAGCATGCCTTGGGAAGGAACGGAGACATTCAGTAACGTACGATGGGGAGATAGATGTCGCAGGGGTCCAGGTGGATCCCACACCAACTGGAGACACACCGACTGGAGAGGCGTAGCTGGCCTGCGAGTTGGGGCTGATATGCGACACTCCCTGTTGAATACGGTGCAATGAAGGCGACGGGGTAGATCCTTGCACGACCTCAACCGAGTAGTTGTACTCCCCAGCACGGTATGCGCGTCTCTCGTTGCTTTGCTGCTTGAGAAGCTTCTGGGCCTTCGTATCCGCAAAGCGAAGAAGCAATTTGACTCCATCCTTGGAGACGACGTTATGGAACTCGCCCAACACCTTCTCTGCGATGTCACGCGTTTCAAACCTAAGGCAAAAAGTCAATCACAATTCGAGGCTCACGCCGCCATTTCGAAACACTAACCGAGCAAAGCCAACCTCCTTGCTCACTCCGGTTTTCTCATCGCGGCTGATCTTTTCCGAGACCACACGATATGGCTCGAAGTGACGACGAAGATCCTATGAGAAAGTTCAATTAGTACAAGCTTTCTTCTTTCGGGCACAAGCATTCTCACGGCCTCTGTCCACTCAATCGGAAGGTTTGTGCAGTAGATGTTGGTCGAAGACTTATCCTCTAGATCTTTGAGCCTAGAGTTGCGGGATTTCTAGGGAAATATCAGTGATCAGGCAGCAAACCCTTCGGAGAGACAACAGTACCTGAGCGAAACTGGCCTGGTAGCCAAGATAAAAGAAACCGCGGATGCAGTTCTCGCAGGATTCGAAGTTGTAGTACTGGACGAATCCAAATCTGGAACACTGTTAGAGAGGAAATTAGGACGAGAACACAGACAAACCCTTTGCAGAGGCCCGTGTCCAAGTCAACAATAGCTTTGCAGCGATCTATTTTTCCGAAGCGGGAGGCATAAGCATGCAGCATATCATCAGTCGTCTCCGGAAGAAAGCCTCGAATGTAGACATTGGTAATCCCCTCTCGATTCTCCAGACACTTAGCCAGAGTCAGATCAGATGGGTTTGTCCACATGGCGGGCACCGCTCGTGGGATGGGTGGGTCTTGCTGCGTCAAACTCTCGAGATCCTGGAGAATATACCCCGTCGGAGTCTTCATCATCTGGAGAGGTAGACATGTCCCACTTGGCTGAGGAAGGCCATTGAAACCGAAATTCGACAAGCCAGGTCCTTCCAGGCCAGCATTGGGGTTGTGAAAGTAGTCGCTCGGGGGAGTTGGCACCACCGGACAAGGCGGGGCCAAGCCGGAGTAGAGGCCATGTGCAGGTAAATACGGGCCCTGGTCAAGAGGCAGTCCGCTGAAGATAGTGCCATTCGGCAGAAGAACAAATTGATTGTAGGGAGGCATCGCCATTGGCATGTTATTCTTGACCCCGTTGTACTTCGGTCCAGGCCTCTGGTTGTGATATCCCAATCCACCGAAGAGAGAAGGCAAGCCATGGGAATCAGGCATCTGATTGGAATCAGAGACAGGAGGATGCATAGTAGCCGCCATCGCTAAGTTGACCTCTATCAAAGGATTAGCCATGGCCCGTTGGTAGATAGAAGAAGAAGAAGAAGAAGAAGAAGAAGAGAAAAAAAGCACGAGCTCTCACGATGATGGGTATAACAGCTCGGGTAATTTGGCGAGACAGAATCTAAAACCACTGTGAGCGATTGCACCTAGTTCAGAGCAGAAGAATTATTGTAAAGACCTACACAATAAATGGCCTGGTAAGGAAGAAGATGTCGGACGTGAAGGCAATGAATGACTGCTGGAAGAGGAGGAATTGGTGGGGGTCTTAGAAGAAGCGTAGGAGGAGGAAAAGGAGAGAGTCGTGGGAGTCAAGCTGGGAGACATTGGAGGAGAGAGCAAGAAAGAGGGCAGATTGGGAGGAGTTGGCTGTTGCAGTTGCACTTGCTGTTCCTGCAGTCGCTGCTCCTGGAGGAGGAAAGAACGCCTCAGGAGTCTATCGCAGGCACCGACACCTTCCCTCCCTTCGCTCTCAGGGGAAGGAAGAGCAGCCGTGGCAGAAGAAGGAGCCACGATCTCGTCAGTGACCTGCAATTTACGAGGAGCAACGGCTCCTGCCTTTTTGAGTAATTCAATCTCCTCGTCATTCGGCCAGCCACCATCACGCCAGGGAGGTAGAACCATGACTGCAGTCAAGCTAACACAGGCAGATAGACTACCACGGGAATTGCTTGGTTGAGTATGCGAGGCAGAGAGTAGAGAGAGTTGGAGGGTGTGTGTGTACTGAGGAGAAGGAGTGAGGAGAGGTTGAGTTGGTTGCGGTGGAGACCAAGGACTTGAGAGTGAGAGATAGATTTTGCTCCTACTATGACATGCTCACTCATGGGCTCCATAAAAAGTTTGCACCCTACACGCGTCTACTCACTTAGCGTTCTTGTGGAAAGGGCCAAGCATTGCAAGTGCTGCTCATGCGATGTCCCTTTGGATTGACACGGTACGACAGAATGATGGGGATAAATGGCGGACATGAAGTTGATCATATTATGACATCTATACAGTATGGTGGACAGGTAGAAATCGTTCCTTTCTGACTCACAAAGTAGTTGATGTCAGTATTCGGAAATTGTACCCGTAGTCATGGATCAGATGTCATCTCAAATCTCTCAGGCTTCTAGTGCAGTCGCCGTAAAGCCTCTATCATAACCTTGACTTCGTCAACATCCGTCGCCCCCACGGACTTGACAATCTCATCCTGTACACTTGGTTCGCAGGTCAAGAACCGTTCTATCAATTCGCCGTCCACAAAACGATACGGTTCTTTGGCTTCGCGGACCATGCTGCGGAACCCACGAAACTCATTGAATGGAATGTTACCCAGAGACTCGACTTTCCCTGCCATGGTGGCTTGCAGACGCATCAGGAAGTCCTGATGTTGTGGGTTGATCACAGCAAATAGGTATATTGAGCCCTCGACCTGTTGTTAAGCAGTCAGAAGTCTGCACAATGATCCAAGTGATATCAAAAAGACAGGATGACATACCGTGCCCAGGAATGCTCGGGGAGTGACAGTTAGACTCGCCACTTGTTGTATATTGACAGGCCGGATTCGATTGACCATCTCCCCTAGCGAGATCTCACCGGTGACCTCCAACCTGCGCTTATCATCCTCTTCGACTCCGGTTCGATTGCGGCGAAGCACAATCAGGTTACCCTCGGCGTCACTCTCGAGGAAAGTGTCCTCCGCGATGCACGCGACACCTGTGGCCCAGACCGTCTGGAAGTGGCGAGCGACCTCTGTCAAAGTGTCAGGGAGACCATCTTCCCCTTCCTTCCATTCTACCAAGCAGACACTCTTCATCAAATCTGCGATAGCGATAATATTGCCCGTCACCGTTACATCCACAGGCGCGGTAGAGGTCCTGTAACTGGCTAGTTTCTCCAGCTTCGTAGCTCCGAAATTGTTGTTGACTACCCTATAGACCACGACCTACTGACTGTTAGTACACGGGAAAAGACCGCTCACAATTGTCTTTGGAGGACCTACAGTCTTGACGAGAGCCGCTACAATTTTCTCACCTAGCATGGCCAATGCACGACAGGCACCTTTCACAGGCAGTTCGGCTACCTTGGCCAGTTTCCGGCCATTGTCAACCTCGAAGACCAAGATCCGACCTCGAATCGACTCTTCTCCCTCATCGTCCAGGTACGCTGTGCCAACGATGAAGCGATCCTTGGTCACCTCCCGACCAGTTTCATCTTTACCTGCTGTGAACTCGGCACGAACAACGCTCTCCACTAACTCCTCGGGTTGAAAGTCAAAGGAATCGAGGCGGCGGAACAGAATCTCATCCGCAAGGACAAACCTGCTCTGAACCTGCTCTTCGCCGTCTTTCAGTTTGCGTTCGATGGTGCCGATGCCGAAAGCTTTTTCCGAAGGTGAATAAGCGACTCTGCGGGCAGTTGCACCCACTGGAAGGGTCTGAATCTGCGTTGTCCTCTCCGTGTCCACCAGAGCGATCTTAAGATCGTGGCGCGTGGCAACAGCGATAGCTTCGGGGTATGCCTCAGAATTAAAGTGGCATATGCGAGATGCGCCCTCGGAGTTCACAGCGGAATATATAATGCGACCTTCAGAACCATATATAAGGCTGGGGTTCTCGCAGGTTGCGAAAACATTATAGAGCCCATCCCCCCTCGGGAGCTTCTTGAAGGTCGGCTGCTCAGAACCAAGGATGAGTTTGTTCATGCCTGACAAAGAGTAGTCTTTGGTATCAAATGAATAGGTGATGACACTACCATCTGCCATCGAAATGAAAAGAGTTGATAGACTGTTCATGAGGACATCCGCCACAAGGACAGAGCGAGGAAAAGCCTCGCCTGCAGGGCCCAACGATAACGTGTGGAGATCACTCAAGTCTTGCAGCTTCAAAACCGAGACCTTGGCCAACTGAGGGAATGCGACGATACAGGCATCAGTGGGGCAAGAAGGGACCGTGACACCAGAGATCTGACTGTCGGCGCCGAAGTCTTTATGGGTCACTACCTGCGGTTCAGTTTTAAGTGCCAGGACGGTCACCAGTTCACCGCCAACAACAAGGACCATGCATTCGTCGTTGGTTGAAGCAGCAGTGATTACCAGCTGGTCAGGTGGTGTCCACTCGTATGTGACCATGCCACTCTCGAGATCGGCAATCAGGACTCTTTGTTCGGTGACTTGTAATATCCTGCCTCCCGGTAGGTTGGCGGCGAGAAGTGTGTTTTCCGAGAGACTCAGCCCAAGGAAGCCGTCAAGTTCTTCCACCTCACCCTCCGGACTAAACTGGAAAACTCGTGTTTCATCTACGAAGGTGACAAGGAGAGTGTCAAGGAATCCACCCTGAGCGGCTACTCGCAGCCCCCACAGATCGGTGATGTGCTCCATCTCACCCAGCACACCCAATTCCTCCATGCCGACGCCGCTGCGCACGCTTCTGAGGGTTCCGTCGTCAAAGGCACCTGAGCCAGTGACAATGCGGGCTTGGCCAGAAGAGAATTCGTGCGTTTGGCTCTCATTGGTACGGTTCCCAAGGTCCATAATTGTGAAGTCAAGAATCGGTGCCACATTGGAGAGCGTCTGAATCACCTCGAATGACCCATTTCCGATCCGAAGTACTTGAGAATCACCTTGATGGGAGCCGACAAAAATGATTCCAGCCCCAAGGTACACTATGACGGATGCCCGTGATGTGTTCCCTAAGTGATCCAACTTCCAAGACTGGACCTGACTGTTGGAATCCAGAACCAACATAAGCAGAAACAATCTTCCGTAATCGTCAGCCAGCAGCCAGCGCTGACTATCCACACGCTCCCAAGCCACGAACACAGTAGCCTCACCTAAAGGGCGAGACACGATCTCGTTGCTGTCAGTATCAACATACTTGATCGACGCTTCGCCTAGGACAAGAAGACCGCCTAGTCCAGTCAGTCACATATTCTTTCCAAACCAAATTCTGCATGAATGGGGAGGCACAAACCCAAAGGAGCGGGCACCGGTATGAGATGGGATGCTCCAAGATCGAGTTCCTCAGAGAAGCCGTCCAGCAGCTCCTCAAACGACGCGTCCGCGCTCACGGTAGTGGTCGCGGCGCTATAGTGCAACTCCCGGACCTTTAGTCTCACTTTCTTCTGATTATCCTCGTAAAGCAGCGCAATCCGGGGCAATCCTGACTGGACGTGCAAAAATGCCGAGGAGCGCACGAACAGCTCATCGATTCGGGTCGTTGTTGGCTCGCCAAGCTCACCAATGCGGGGTGCGTCTGGCCCCGAAGGCAAGGTGACCTGCCTTCCTCTCCTCTTACTGGGCAACTGCACGATGGGAATTACCGCAATGACGCCCTCGTAGACTTCGAGCGTCATGAAACGGCCACTCGGATCGATCAAGCAACGATTGCCCGTCTGAGCCTCCCGCGAAGACGGGTCAGCGACATCCACATAGTTCCTCTCCGTGCGCACTTGATTCCTCGTACTGTCCCACGATAGTGTGCAGTAGGTGTAGCGGTCTGTGCCCACAACGAGGTGATCGGTGGACGAGTCGGCGGGAGCCGGAAGTCGGGCCAGCATCGTGACTCTGGCGAACAGAGAGCACGAAGCGGCGAGGCTCAATCCATCGGGAGTGGGATTGTAGAATTCGAGTCGATTCGCCTTCCTGTCGAGAAATGAAAGTCAACAGTCAGCCGCTGAACCGCAACGCAAAGGGACGTCTGAATTTTAGAAGCAAGGTCAACCAACGCAACAACCAGAACCTCCTCCTCCGGCTTCATGAACTGCAGCGTCAGCGCATGTCGTATGCTGCTTGCCCGGTGGATTGGCACAACGTAGGCCATCCTGGCGATGACAGTATTTCTCGGTGCTCGGTCGAGGCAAGTAAA